GGGCCGGGGGCGCAGCTCGATCTGACGCTTGGGCACCGTCCGGGGCCTGACCGGCGCAGGGCTCTCCTTCAGCGCCACCTCCACGCACTCAAACTGAGAGGGAGCGGCAGGACCCAGTCCACTGGGACGCAGCTCCAGGTAGGTGGCCCAGCGGGATCCGCCGTCGGGAGCGGGCGGCAGCGGTGGGCTGGGGGCGTCAGACACTGTCCCCAGCGGCGAGGGGCTGAATGGCTGCTCCGTGAGCTGTTGCACCTCACGATCCTCCGGGTCCGTGTGGCTGAACCGGAGCCCGGTGCCGAAGACCACTTCCATTTCCCCCGACGGCAGCACGCGCAGCTGGGGCTGGGGCGGCAGCGGGCCGGAGCCCCGGCCTCGCCGGAAACCCGAGCCGGACCAGGGTTGCTGGCGGCTATTCTGGGCGCTGACGGACAGGCGAGGCTGTGCTCCCGCCCCCGGGCCGGGGGCCACCCAGGGCCAATCTTCCCAACCTGCGTCTGGCCTTGCGTCCGTGGGCTCGGGAGAACCCGGAGCTGTGTGGTAGGAACCCGACGAACCCGAGGAGTCCTGGCGCTGTGAGGGGGCTGCGGGCAGCCGCCTTGGGAGCCCAGGCAGGGCTGGCTGTACGATTGCGGTCAGCATGGTGGGCCGCACAACGCGCGCACTACCTCCCTCGCAGAGCCTCCGCCGCCGGTGGCTCCAGCCCTGTCCCCGCCCCGCCCGAGATGCCGTGGGGTCGGAGCTCCTTAAAGCGGCCGCGTCCACTCCAGAGCCAGCGGCGTTGGCAGCAGGAGAGACCTAAACCTGGACCCGACCGTTGAGCCCCCATGACTAACCGACCTTTCTCCAGCACTGGTGGAGCACTTGGGGTGGGACTCCAGGCTTTGGCTGTCAGACAAGTGACAGGCAGCCAGGTCCAACCTTACCTATCACAGGTGAGGGCATTCTCGCCCAGCAGATGCTCACTTGAAGTTCAGCTATAGTGTAAGGTTCAAGGTGTGAGCCAGGAAACCAGATTTTCAAGCTGGGGAGCTTACATCTTGCCAGAGATTGTGACTTGACACCACTGCAGGGGAATCACCCCCCCCCCGCGCGCGCGCCACTTCATGGCGTTCCCTAGGTAGAGCCTTGAGCATTGATCCCAGGTCACCCCCCCCCACCCCAGGCTTTTGTAGAGGAGCATCGCTAGAGGTCACTCCCAAAAATGTGCTGGGGGAAGATGGTGTCCCTGGATAGAGCCTTTGCCCAGTGAGGCCTTTTGGAAGGGCCTGGAGTGGGCAGCTTTAGCTTTCACAAGCTCCCGAGGCTTTGTGACCCAGCTTTAAGCACTCTGAGGCAAGGAAAGTCTTGTGCTCCCCTCGAGGTGGTCAGAAGTCCTCTCAAACCCCTACAACCTTCAGTCCTGCCCTGGGGTTTGGCAACGGTAGGAAGTAGATGCCACCTGTCATTGTCTTATGACAATGGGCACCACTTGCCCTTAAACTTCTGGCTTCAAGGTCCTGCAATGACTCAGGCCTCCGCTGGCCCTGTGTCCACACTGACCCAGCAGAGGCTACACTCACCAGTTTCAGCAGCCTCACTGGCCTTGCTAGGGTGTCCCCTGGGGCACAAGTGTGATAAATGGTTGTGGCGTGACCATCCCATCCAGCTCTGCTTGTTCAGTTTGAGCAAACCACAGCCCTTTCGGACCCTTTCCAAACAATATTGTTATTTTCCCCTCCCTCTCATTTATGAAAACAAGCCTTGGTTTGAAGGAGGTATGTGATTCCTGAGTAACATTCTTGTTTTTTTTTTTAATTTTTTTTATTTGTAAGATTCTTGCTATGTGATGATGATTGGTCTCCCAGATTGTCTTTTGAAATAGTTGGGTTAGGGCTTACACACACACACACACACACACACACACACACATTGGGTTAGGGCTTACACACACACACACACACACAGAGCCAATCCTGCCTTATACCCCAGTTGAAAGAGTTCAATTTACTGGAGAACTATGGGTCTGATGGGATGTTGCTAGGGTACCCAGGGCTGTTCCAGGGAGAAAAGAATTAAACACTTCAAGTAATGGGTTGTGCTCACTACACGACAAAGGCCCTGCCTCACTCCAAAAGACCCTTTGGCCTGTGGGAGGGAAGTAGCTGGGGCCAGAAGTTTGAGCAGCATTTCCTACAGAGCCCAGAAGTACTCTAGCAAGTGGTGGCAAAAGGCCTGTCCCTCACGCAGTCTTTGGTGTTTTGACTCTGACTTAGGTCACTGAGGCCCTGGCAACAGGAAAGCAAGCAGCAGTGGCTACTGCCTTTTTCCCCCACCCCTTCTCTGGAGGTCAGCTTTGGAGTGAGGTGACCCACAGGGATGGATAAGGAAGGGTTGGGGGCTTCCTATAGCAGAGAAGACAGAAGTTGGGCATTTTAGCCAAAAAAAAAAAAAAAAAAAAAAGGAAAGTGACGACCATTTTATTTTTCCCTGAGGCGCTGGTGGCTGTGAGGCTGCCGCATCCCTGAGACTTTCTTATGCTTCTGGTCCAGCACCTGGGCCATGTAGCTCTCCTGCTGCTTCTGGATCCGGAAGTCAGACATATGATTCCTGCAATGGAGCCAGCTGGTCGTGGACTGTGTACAGCTCAGGGTAGGGGCCACAGGCTTGGCTCCCATTTCCATCAACAACCTCCAGCCTGGCCCAGGTCCCTCACCTGAAAATCTGTTTCTGCTGGCTGATAACTTGCTGCAACTCCTTAATCTCATTCTCTTTGCCATTAAGTATATCTTCTTGTTTTGTAACATGAGACTCAATTTCTGTGGGGGAGAGAGTCAGGGAGGAGGGGTGGCTCCCATCCCACAGCCCCTACTGAGTTAAGGCCTTCCCTCATGCGACTAACTGAAACTTGCCCCCACCCTGGAGTCTTCATAAACAGGTGCCAATACTTTAGTATGAAGGCGTTTACTACAGAGTCTTGGGGGTGGCAGTGTCTGATGATTGTGTCAGGGACTTTAAATTTCTATTCTGGATGTCACCCAGAAGAGGGCAGATGAAGGTCCCTGGAGAGAGGCAGGCAGCTGCAGGTCTATACATGTCACCTCCTTCATGAGACCCTCTTTAGTCTAAAACTTACAACTCTTCCCAATACCTCCTTGTCAACTTTTTCCTGCTTATTTCCCAAGTGTTTCTATTTTTCTTCTTAGTGTCTATATCTAAAATACCATATCTTTTATTCATTTGTCTTCTTCTAAAGTAGGGTGTAATTAAGTCTACAAAGACAGGGATTTTTGTGTTATTCACGGCATTATCCCTAAGGCCTAAAAACAGTTCCAGGCACATATTAGGTGGAATGAACATATCTGTGGAATGGACAAACAGGACATTCTCTGGGGGCTTAGGACTCAGAAACATCATGTAGTTCAGCAATCTCAGTCCACCTCACTTACTGAGGGCTAACTGGTCACTAATCCCCATGCTAGGGCTGTAGAGAGGGTGGGAGATGGGATTCCTACTGTCAGGAGACAGTTCCTGAAAGGAGTTAGGACTTGGAGTAGAGGACTGGGTTTGGGTCAGGTAGGATAGGGGTAAGCTCAGTGGTATAGCATTTACACAGCACATGGAAGGCTGAATTCTGTCCTCAGCATTACAAAAAAAAAGAAAGACTCAAAGATTGTACAGAACAGGACAAGCTACATTTCAATAAGCTCTTAACTGATGAGAATATTACCACTTTGGGCCAGTTGCCTCCCTTTTCAGACCCATGTCCTCATCTGTAAGATGGGACAGAGACAGCCCCTAGACGACAGTGAGGTGGGAAAGACCCAGTGAGATGCTGGTAGCAAAGACCAGTCCCAAATTAGGCACAGATAAAAGAAGGATTGTTGTGTCTTAGGTCACAATTAAAGGGGGCTGTAGGGATCTAATGGTTCATCATTTATATAACTGCCCCTCATGAAGCCCTGCAAAATTCTGGTTCACATAAAATCCTGTTGTCTGTAAAGGTTGGATGAGGACTGACTACAGCATGAACTCTGACGATGTAGAAATGCTGATGCATTTAGCGTTTCAGAAGATTTGGTACCAAGTCAAGGAAAGTCATGGTACCAAGATACGGTACCAAAGGAAAGAAGGTGAAGGGAAGAGAGGGAGAGAGGATGGAAACATAAACTCACTGGCGACGAAGAACTACTGAGCCTCCTTCGCAAAGTCAGCCAGCTAAAGATTTCTGAGATTTCTTTTGTTTCTTTTTTTTCTTTGAGACAGTGTCTGCTATGTAATCCAGACTGGTCTTGAATTTGCTCTGTAGCCCAGGTTAGCTTTGTGCTCACCATTCTCCTACATCGATCTCCTCAGTGAGGGGATTACAGCTGTGGTCACCATGCCTGACCTGGTTGTGTTTTTCTGTTTCTTTTTGGTGCTGGTCATTGAACTTCGAGCTTTCACATTAAAGTATATCCTCCAGCTCTCATTAATTTGAGACAGGGTCTCACTAAATCACTTAAATTGCCCAGGTGGGGCTCAAATTTACCTCAATCTGTCCAGTGCTGGGATTACCAGCGTGCACCACCATGCCATGTTATATCCACTTTACCTGTGATTTTTTAAAAATAACTTTTATTTTATCCTACCCCCGCCTTCCCTGCTTGTGAAGTTATTTAGGAAAAAAGAATTACAGATTTGTGTAACTCTTAAGACCTGTGGCATCCACAGAAGGTTTTTTTAAAAAATCCCTTTGAAGCTGGGCATGGTAAGTAAGCTGCCAGGGCAACTTAATGAGACCAACTCAAAAAAACAAAAGGGAGCCAGGCTAGATGGCTCATACCTGTAATCCCAGGATTCAGGAGGCCAAGGCAGGAGGACTGCCACGAGTTCAAGATCAGCCTAAGCTACATACTGACTGCAAGTCCAGCCTGAACTACATAGTGAGACCCTTTGTTAAAAAACAAAAAAAGAGACTGGCTGGGGGCTTAGCTCAGTGGTGCAGGTGCAAGGTCCTGAGTTCCAAAAAATAAATAAATAAATAAAAAATAAACCAAAAATGAATAAAAGAAAAGGAGGCTGAGCCTGCTGCTCAGTGGTAGAACTCAGGAGGCTGAGGCAATAGTATTGTAAGCTTAAGGCCAATGTGAACTATATCAAAACCTAGTCTCAACAAAACAATGAGTATTCTAAGTATAGAAGCCAGACTAAAACCACACAAGGGAAGGTTGCAGGGATGGGTACAGGTCAGGGAGAGGTTCATGACACTAGACTGGCTCAGGTGAGGGCTGGTGGCCTGCTGGAGGGGTGCGGGACATTCTAGGGGGAGGCAGCCAGGCCCTGACTCCATGATACAAGTGGATGCAAAGCCTTGGCACCTGGGCTGATCTGTTGGAAGGAAATGCCTGCAGAAAAGAAGTCTCTGGGGCCCAGGCTTTAGCTCAGTGGTTCCGCTGCCTGCTTCTCAAGTGCAAGGTCCCAAGTTCAATCCCCAGCACAAAAAAAGAGAATAGAAGAAAAGAAGTCTCTGATTGCCCCAAGAGAAAACTTCTTTAAGAGAAGCAGGGCAGATGCCCAGGGTGAAGACAGGGGATCTACAGCCTTGGGTGTGGAGGCAGTGACTACCTATTGAATCCTAAGAGGACCTGGCAGAAGCTGCTGCTTACAACCCTTGAGGGCTGTCAGCATGCTGCCATTTCCTAGTGAGAGCACTCACCAGGAGACCAAAGGCTGGACTGGTGCATGAGACATGCCCAGAGCTCTAGGTAAAGGTCCCACCAGGAGGGGCCCTGACTCTCTTTTGGGTCTGGGCTGATTTCTGGCCTACTCAAGATCTGCTGCAGTGAATGGAGACGATACTACATGTGGAATTTATAGCTATGTAAACTGGGAAAAGGGAGGTCCACACTTTGTAGAATGAAAGGGGTTCCTGTTGGGCGTGGTGGTGCACATTTGTAAGCCCAGCACTCAGCAAGCTGACACAGGGCCCGCATTTCCACAGCAGAGGTACTAAACACAAGGGGGGCATGGCTCTGTGTGTCGTCAGTACCCACTTCTCCCTGCTGAATCCCTGACCCTGAGATTAATGGCCACTTCCCCAGCAGGACTTCTTGCCCTGTTGTTCCTCTTGTAGCAGAAATAAGAGTAAAGTGCACTTTTTCTAAAATGGAAAGACAAAAGGTGGACTAAGAAGCTTGTACGTTTTAAGAAAAATGGGAGCAAGCCCGTTCCTTTATGGTCATGAAGAATATTGTTCACTGACTGTTTCCCTCATTTCCGTGGCCTGCCTGGTCCCTGAAGGCCTTTTCGAAGGTGTTGTCCACCTGCATGTATCCTCAGCCGGGGACAGAAGTTGGGGTGAAACCCTGCTTTTGACACAGGCACTGGGCTGTTAGGGAAGAGCCCATTTATGTTACCATGGAGGGGAGCGTGGGCCTCCCGCCTACCACTGCACTTGGTGATAAGCTGGTCCTTCTTGCTGGACTCCTGTAGGACTCTGCTCTTGACACTGGAGAGCCTGGATGGGGAGGATGAGAGGTAGGCAGGCCAACAGGCAGACAGGACCCTACCTCCACAGCCCCTCCTGAGACCCACTCACGCTTTTTCAAAGGCCAGCTTCTCTTTCTCCAGCTGCTTGGACAGCACCTCCACTTCTCCAAGGGCAAACTGCAGCTTCTCCTCTTCCTTGGCCAGAAGGAGTTTGGTCTTGGCATGGGCAGCTTTCTCTTCCTGCAGGGGCAGCAGCAGTTACCCCATCACTCCAAGCCACCATGGGTCTCCCTGACCAGCCCTTTCTCAGCGGGGTAGATAGAAGCCATGGTACAGGAAGATTCTGGCCTCACCAGAGGGACTGGTGGTTCTCAAAGGCCAATGCTCAATGACTACCCAACCACAGAGATCTTGGGAAATGGGCAAAGATTAGATTGCAGAGGCCACTACTTACCACTAGCTTCTTTTCCATGGCCTGAAATTCTTCTTTACTGACAAAATTTTCATCCTGGAGAACCATCTGCAACAGAGATTGGCTTAGGAAGGGCTTGGAGCTGGGGTGGGCAGGGTACCCTCTAGGGATAAGGACAAAAGCTGGATAATGGTTTTATGCCCAGGGCACCTCCAATGAGACAGGGTCTGGAAAGGAAGAATTCAGTTCCACAGATTCACTGAGGCTCAGCAGCAAGTCCTCCCTTCAAGGTGCAACCATGGAGAAAGCTTGAGCCCACACTAACTCTGTGTATGTAATGATGGTAAAAGAAAGGGGCTGTGGCACACAGAAAGCCCCCTGGCTCAGCCTAAGGGTCAGAACTGCTTTTAGAGAAGGTGATATTAGACCTAAGGTCTGACTGCTAAATAGGATGGACCAAAAGAGGGGCAGAGCAAAAAATGCTCCAGATGGTGTGAACACACATGCCAAAGGCAGCCAAAAGACCAAGGGTAATTTAGTGCCTAGAACTGCATACATTTTGTTGAAATAGGGTCTTAGGGTAGTCAACAGCGCCTTTCTCTCACTTCCTCCCATATCCAACTTCCCAGAAGGGAAGAAGTCTGCGAATCATCAGGGTAAAAAACACATGTGAAGCTAGTTTTATTTCTGAAGTGAAGATGCGTCCTAACATTCTTACCAAGGCAGAAAAATCAAAACAGAAAAACCATGCCCTCGGGCTGGCCGCCATTGGAGTTATCCGTGGCTCCAATGCTTTGCACCTGTTAGCTGGGGTTTGAGAAGCAAAAAGCAATGCGAGGCCCAGAGATTTAGCTCAGTGGTTCCGCCACCTGCCTCACAAACACAAGGTCCAGAGTTCGATCCTGGGTTTGAGGCCCTTAAGTCAACGTGCTCAAAGGGCCAAATCTGTGTTTGCTGTCCTCAGCATGGCACTGTATTTGACATTGTGAAGGGGTGCCCAGAACAGAAGAGATGCCAATCTCTCTGCCTGCACGAGGGCCTTGGCAGGTCAGTGACATCATCACCACTAAAAAACGGAGAAACTGAAGCGCAATGAATATCTACTAGGCCTCCCATCAATCAGGAAAAGTGTAAACGTTAGGTGAAAATTTCCCGGTAATTCGGGAACCTCCCACCCCTTTGGGCTCACCCCTCCCAGCCAGGATTCACTGGAGTCCCGCCTCCTCCCGACGATCCCTCCGGCAACGTGTTCTAGCCACGCCCCTTCCATCCAACAGGGTCTGGTTTCATCCCCCCTGGTGAGGCCTACAGTCCGAGATTTTCTGTCTGCGTACCACATTCTTCAGCTGGTCGATCAGTTCCTCCTGAGATTCAATTACGTCCCGCAGTTGGTCGAAGGCGAGGCACACAGAGCCTGAGCCCCCCGGAGACCACCCGAGGGGCGTCGCCATCTTTTGTCCCCGCCAGCTCGTTGGAAATGGCCGCGGCTGAGGGTTCGCCACCGTCACCCACCAATGAGAATGCGACGCCACAGAGCACCCTGGCAACTGGGGCGAGGACTTCCTCTGTCAGACGAATAGGGCCCGCCTCTTAAAGGAGTCTCGGGGAGTCAAGAACTTCAACAAATCATGGAAATTTAAATTTACAGGAAACGTTTCTTGCGCAATTTTGGGGAGCAAGCAGGGCCTTTCTACTTTTAGTGTCAATGAGCAGGCAACATTCAGACAAGTCTTTTCCCACGCCTTGTTTAAATTGCAAGATGTTTCAACTACATAGTGAGACCCTGTCTCAAAAACAAAACAAAACAAAAATAAGTAAATTGCAAGATGTTGACCCCAGAACCAGTTTAGGCAGCCCTGAATGTCTAGCTTCCCAGGTTTCTCCCTTCTACCCTGATCTCCAAATTTCTCACACACTAAGAGTCTCCAGCCTCCTAGAACATGCATAGCACTTAGGATGACTAAACCTTTGCAACGAAGATAGAAAGCAGAATGGCTTCATCCAGGAATCCTCATTCTGGGCGGCCACATTAGAGCTGTGTCTGACCCTGAGGGGCCCGGGAAGGGGTCAAAAGGGCTGAAGTGGAGCTTGACAGAGAAGACATCTGGAAAGCAGGCAGGGAAGAACAGAGGTCACACAAACACTAAATCCAGACTGATGGCTTTTTTTTTCCTCCTTGGAACCTAAATAATACAGTGTTCAGTATTCCGTGGCACTGTTATGTTTTGTTAAAATTTTTTATTAGTACATGCTTTTATTATTTATTAGCACACAGTGATTATGTTCATCGTGGGAAGTTAGTACATGCACATAGCATGTCTTAATTCTTTTTACTTCTCCTTCCTCTCCTCCTGTCCCATTCCCATCATTGTGCTTTCTTTTTATTAATTAATTTATTTTTATTTTATTTTTGAAACAGTCTAGTCTAGGCTGGCCTCAGACTTGCAGCGATACTCCTGCCTCAGCCTTCTGAATGCTGGGTGTACAGGGGTGTGCCTACACATCCTGCTTATTTTCTCCACTGTATATAGATGAGGAAAGGGTGGCTGAGTGAGAATGTGAAATTTATCCAAGGTCCCCAAATGAGAAAGTTCAGATGTGGTTTGATACCAGTCCATATGTTTAACTGTGATGCTGGGCTGCATTTTTGTTGAACATAGTTATCGAACTTGATATTCTTGAGCAGGAAATGACTACTAAAAAGAAATTTGGAAAAAATGATGGCTGAGAAGGGAAGCAGAGATTTCAGATAAAGCACTCAGGCTGCTCCCCCAGGATCCATAAAGGCCTCTTTTTGAGTTAGATGTTGAGAGCTGACAAATTTGGCCATCACTGTGGGTCTCTTGGTGGTAGCCCTGGTTTTGTCTTTCCTGGTTTCTTGACCCCATATTCATATCCTTGGGGACAAAGCCACCTCTGTTGACTTCCTCTGTTTGACTTTTTTTTGTGGAGGGGAGGGTTTATAGCCCAGGCTAGCTTGAACTAAAGGTGATCCTCCTGTCTCAGCTTCCCAAGTGCTAGGGTCACAGGGGTGCACCACCATGCCTGGCTCACACTATTGTGAGCTACCCTCTCCCTGTCCTTAACATCTCAACATTAACCATCTGTTTCAGCCTAATTCAAGTGTCACCTCCTCTGCTGTTGTTTGAATAAAAAATATTACCCCACTTACTCCTGTAATCCCGGCACTTGGGGGCTGAGGCAGGAGGACCACCTCAAATTGAGGTGAGTTTATAGTGAATTCAAGGTTGGCCTGAACTATATAGGAAGACCTTGTCTCAAAAAGCCAAAGAAAAAGTCACCCCAAAACTTGAGGTGGAGCTTTTGGAAGGTGATTCAGTCATAGGTCCCTAACTTGGCAATGGGTTTATTCACTGAGGAGTTCATGGCCAAATGTGGTGCTAGGAGTGGGGACTGGTAGAAGAAGTAGGTCCCTGCCTGGTGGGGGTGAGGCCTGGAAGAGGGTGTTCTTGCCTGACTCTTCTCTCTCTCTCTAGCTCCTCCCCTGCACTCTGCTTCCTGTCAGGCCTGAAGTGAGTTGCTTCCCTCCACCCTGTCCTCCCGCCATGGTGTTTCTGCCTTACATGACCATGGACTGAGACTTTGAACCTGAAATTGAGCCAAAATAAGCTTTTTTAAAAGTTTTGTATGTAAAGTATTTTGTCCCAGCAACAAAAAGGTGATTCATACATCTTGGTAAGTATTATTTAGCCCACTAAAATTTTGTTTTGAGACAAGTTCTCACTATGTAGCCCAGGCTGGCCTCAAACTTATGGTGATCCTCTTGCCTTAGCCTCCTGAGTGCTGGGATTACAGGTGTGTGTCGCCATGCCCGGCTACCCCACTATACTTAAATAGTTTTTTTTCTTTTTGCGGGGAGTGGTTGAGACAGGGCCTAGCTATATAGCCCAGGCTGGCCTGAAACTCTCAGCTTGAGTGCTGGGATTATAGGCATGTGTCACCATGCCCAGTTTATTGACTTACGGTTAAAGGGTTTAGAGCAGCACAGTCCAATAGAAGTTCTGTAATGAAAGTGTTCTACACCTGCACTTTCTCATAGGGAACCCCTAGCCACATGTAGCTGTGTAGTACTTGAAATGTGGCAAAGGAATTTTTTTTTATTATTGGGTTGGGTTTTTTTGTACCAGGGATTGATCTCGGGTCCTTGCGCTTGCAAGGCAGGCCACCAAACCACTGAGCTAAATCCCCAGCCCCTGGTTTTGTTTTGTTTTGTTTTGTTGGTTTTTTGAGACAAGGGGTCACTATGTAGTTGAGACTGACCTGGAACTATGTAGCCCGCCCAGTCTGGTCTCGAACTCACAGGGATCCTCCTGCCTCAGCCTCCTGAGTGCTGGGATTACAGGCGTGTGCCACCATGCCCGGCTTGGTTTTGTTTTTTTAATCCACAGTCTTGCTTTGTGTTAGAGGCTGGCCTTGAACCTGTGGTAATCCTTCTTCCTCAGACTCCTTAGCACTTGGATTACAGGAATATGCTACCATGCCTGGCTCCAAAGGAATTGGTTTTTAAATTTAAAAATTTTTATTTACTTTTTTTCTTTAATACTGGGGGTGGAACTCAGTATTTGAGACAAGGTCTTGCTAAATCACTAAATTGCCCAGTCTGGTATTGAACTTGCAATTCTTCTGCCTCAGATTCTTAGAGTGCTAGGATTACAGGCATCTGCTACCTACTTGGACTATGCATATGTATGTGTGGTGCTGGGGATAGAACCTAGGGCTTTGTGCATGTCAGACAAGCTCTTTACCACCTAGCCACACCTCCAACCCAAATTACACGTTAATAACCATATAACATATTGGTTAGTGGCTACTGTCTTGCACAGTGTGGGTCTAGAGAGTGCTGTGTGGGTTGTGTGCCTCTGCACAGATCCCTGACAAAACTTTGTCTGCCATGAATGTTCAGCGTAGTCACTTTGGATAAAGCTGCACATTCATCTGGGTCCCTGATGCCTGTCTTCCCTATAAACGGTGTCCCTTTCCTGGGTCTTTCACGTGGTGCTGCTTCATGTCCATCCTTTGCCACTTAAGGTCCCCCCTACCAGCAGGCTGCCCTGTCTCTTTGGGGCAAACCCTGGTGAGCATAGGCTTGGCCACCAGGCCCCTGGGAATGGGGCTGTGGGAGGGACCCGGCTCACATCCGCATCCCCCACGGGCGTGAGGGACCACGCCAGACTCCAACCTTAGGAGTCAACCACCCTAGCTCTGGTCAGCCAGGGCTTGGTAAGGCTTAGGATGACATCACAAACAGCTCTAGTACCCTGCCCTGGAAAGGCTGCCTTTCCTCGTGGCTTGTTATCAGGCTGATGTTCCATTTTATTGCTGCATAACAAACAACCCCTAGATTTTAATAGTTCCTTTTGTTCATCAACCTACAACTACAGCAGGGTTCAGTGGTGACCAGTCTGCTTCATGCAGTGTCAGGTGAAGTGGTCAACAGGGGCGGGCTGAGAATTCCTCTTTTAAGATAATTCACTCACTTGGCTCTATCAGCTGGGTACTCAGCCAGGGGCCGAGGACCAAGAATCTTGCTTTCTCTTCCTGAGCTGCTGAGGCTTTCTCATTGCATGGGGTCTGGGTCAGAGAGCATCCAAAATGAATGGAAAATGCCAGTGTCTTACGGCCTGGCCTAATGTAATTTCTGCTGTACAGTGTGTGTGTGTGTATATGTGTGTGTGTGTGTGTGTGTTGCTGGCTATGGAACCCAGGGCCTCACATATGCTAGGCAAGTCCTCTGCCACTGAGCTACAGCCCCAGCTCTCTGCTGTACTTTCAGTCAGCAGAGTCAGAGTTTGCTTTCAAGGAGAGGGGACACACATGCACAGACACCTTTTTTTTCCCTTTCTTTTCTTTTTGGTACCCGGGATTGAACTTGGGCCCTTGCGCTTGAGAGGCAGGCAGCGGAACCACTGAGCCAGATCCCTGGCCTGCACCTGATTTTTCTGATGCTAAATGTAGTCTTTACCTGTAGATTGACTCCGACATGCTACAGCTACTGTTATAGAAAATATGGACTCTATTCTGCTGATCAGTGCTATCTACTGTTCTAAACATGATCCTATTGTTGGATAAGGGGGACTGGAACAGAGGTCAGCAACTTCGCTAGTGCCTAATGGCTCCAAAGAAGTCAAGCATGTACACTGGCCATGGGTGTCACAGGCAATGGCCAAAGAACAAAGGAAAATGTGAAGCCATTCTCTTTATATAAAATCATTTAATGTTTTTCTTTGTTAAAATACACTCAGTCTAGATGCAGTGGACCAGGGGACCAGAGTTTTCAGGATTCTTACTCCACCAGGAGCTGATTTCATCTCTGTCATCCCTGACTCTGGCCACAGAACATCTCTAAGAATACTGAGAGGGATGCAAATGATGCCATCCAAAACTGACACCTGGGTAGGTAGTTGGTGGCCATTGCATGAGGGATCAATGATGCAGGATCAAAAAATTAGATGTAGTAACTTAACTTGACCTTTCCAAAAATAAATATATTAGGACACTAGGTTGACACCTTCAAAGAGTCTAAAATAAACACGAGGGACGTGCGAGCTCCTGTGAGGAGCAGTGCATGCACAGAGGATGGACTGATGTGTGGCCAGCGGTGACGGAGCGCTGCTGGATTCCCCCGTCCCGCTCACAGCACCAGGAAGAACTGAGAAGGGTGCATCCTGGGCCAGGCTGCTGTGGCCCATGTTCCAGGGGGGTTTGGCATTCACTGTAATTTCTAGTGGTTTCCACCAGCGAGCACAGCAATGTCCTTTTCTTATTGGTTCCTTTTCCCAAGCTTTAAAGCCTGGGGCTGATCATGGACGCTCAGAAGGTTTTCTGGCTTGAGCAGATGAACCCAAAAGTCACTAGTAATCTGGGGACATGGGTTCCTTCCAGCTGCACCGTTACCAAGATGAGAAGGCTTTTCATCCCTCCTCACTGCTGATTGTTTGAATAAGAGCTTGAGGTTCTATGTAAGCATCAAGCCTTCTTTCTTTCTGTCTTTCTTTCTTTTTTTTGGTACCAGGGATTGAACTTGGGACCTTGTGCTTGCAAAGCAGGTGGCAGAACCACTGAGCTAAATCCCTGGCCCCTCAAGCCTTATTTCTTAGCCCCACTCCCAGCATGCACCTGCAGCCTGCAGTAACGTTCAAAGAAACAACCCTCTGTGTGCCAAGGTCTGACAGTAGGAACGGCCTCACCTGAGAGTTTCTGTATTATCAAGAAGTCTTCCAAAGGATGTAGGCAAGAGGAAAAAAGTTTATCTTACCACTGTGCAGACAACCCATCTAAACATAACCAAGGAAGTTAGAGTTTAACAACTGTCTAGAGAGTACCAAATACAGTAGATTAAACTATTCTTCAGACGTGAGTGTGTGGTCTACTAGTAATAAATAAAACAGTACCATCAATGCTGTAAAAATATAACATTCAGCATGACAATTAATGAAGTTAGTACCACCTCTATCTAGCATCATCACAGATAATTCATCACTACTATGAAGTCCATAAAATGTGTGACTATGTTATTCATGGGCATCTAGAGCAGTCTTTTAATCTGTCAAGTTAGTTTCATTATGGTCCATTTTCTAGCAGAGGCTGAGGGTAGGGAGAGGAAAGCTTTGATTTCTATGTGTATAGGAACTTTCCATAAGCATGTTTTATAGTGTAAATTCCCCTGTCATTCCCGTCAAGGAGGCCCCCAAAAAAACAGGACAACGGGCAGTGATAGTGCATACCACCAGTCTAGAGGCCAAGGCAGGAGGATCATGTGTTTTGAGGCCAGGCTTGGCAACTGGGCAGCAAAAAGTTGGCTATTCCTAGAATGTTCCTCCTCTCTGTAGCTGAGCAGCCTAAAAGCCCCATTCTTTACCTTTAGACTGAATTCCTGCCTCTGTGGAACACACATATGTTGGACTGGACACTTCTATGATGATCTGGCAGCTCAATCCTGGTCGCTTCCCTCCACAGGAAGGCCCGGTACCGTGTAGCCTAGGTGATACCTTAGTTCTTGTCACCAGTAGGAAAGCCTGCCTGCCTTTGAAGGATATCCTATTTCATGTACAGGGCTTGTGTAGGGAGGGTCCTGCTTCCTAAAGATCAGCAGGGAAATTGTCCCAAATGGATGCAGGACTTTTGTAGAAAGATCCAAGAGTGCTCTGGGAGTGGGCAGAGACATCCTTGGAAAAGTTTCTTCTTTGCCAATCTGACTAGGATCTGCTGAGAATTAAAGGTGATCTCCCCCAATTCCTACTTGACAATTGCCCTACCATGTAGCTCTGCCACTACCAGTTGTATGATCCAGAACAACGATTCTCTCTGGGCCAAAGTTCTCATTCATAAAAACAGATAAAACATCAACTTCACAGAGTTGAGAGGAGGCTTAAGTAACAAAATACATGTGAGAGCCCCTGCTTTATAGGAGGCTCTCCGTAACTGGTGAATGAGTGAAAAAGCATCTTGTACTACAAACTCTAGGGCACTGGGTTAAACAAATGACTGCAGGGGCCAATGCTAGACAGGACGTCCCTCTGCACTCCCAGGCTAAAGCCAATGCTTCCTCTCAGCTCTGGCCATTATGCCTCTGTGGGGCAGGAACTCGGCTCACGTGTGATGATTCCAAGTGGTACCACCAAGGGGAAACCACACAAAGCAGATTCTCTGCCTTCTGTGGCGGACTGGGGACTGTGCATCAAGGAGCGGAAACAGAATCTTACGTCTTATCTTCTCGCCAGGCCCTCCTTTCTGCAGCTGCGTGTCTGCTAAACTGTTTCACACTCTTCTACTTTTTTCTGGACCTTCTGCCAGAGAGGATTAAGAAAATAAAAGAACCTCAGATCAGGCAGTTTGCTAATGTTTTTTGACTGAACAGAGAATGGGATAACAGAAAACTATGGGCTGAACAGCTTTAGTTTTCCACATTCCCCTTAGAAATTGATAGTTGAATAGGAATAAGTTCCAAAGGCTGACTCCTCAGGGTGCTGATAATTCCAAAGAAAGGAGTCTAATTCTTGGCAGACATTGTAAATAATTGTAAATAACATGAAACTGCTTGGGATAAGCCTAGGAGCACCTGGACGGTGAGACTTCACTGAAGGAGGAAGAAGGAAGAAAAGGCATCCGTCCTAAATCCAAAACAGATTTTTTTTTTTTAGACAGCACTGTGTAGTTTGGGCCTTAAACTATGTAGCAGCCCAAGCTGGCCTCAAATTCTCAGTGATCTTCTTGCCTCAGCTTCCTGAGTGCCAGGCTCACAGCCACGGGCCACAATATCTGGCTGAAAACAGCTTTTCTGTAACCCAACAAGTCACAGGAGGAAAAGATTTGGATGTGCTCTGCTGCCCTGAACTGTCTTCAGAGAGGCAAAGTCGGCATGGCGCAGGCTGAGAGAAATGCTCTGCCATTCATATAACGAGGACCAGCCCTGCCCGGGGAGGGCTTCTCTATGCCCAGTCTAGCTCTGTGCTCAGTTTCCTTCAACTCTGCCCGACAGACAACATTAGCAAATGGGAAAATGTCCATCATTTCCTGCTTTTGTATTATAAAATGGAATTAGGAACATAAATAGTAATAAGTAACAAAACCCCAACCCTGTGTGGGACCAATCGTTCTCTCAGCCACTTCTGCGGAGGCCAATTAGTTTGGAAAGTTTTTCACAGTTTTCAAGTTTCAGCGATTCTGCTTTCTGTTTCAGTCGTTCATCTCTGTATAATCCTGCCAAGTTTGTCAACTCCGACTCTGAAAGATAAAAGAGATAACCAGTTCATCAAGAGTTGAACTCCTTTGTTTCATTTCAATATTTCTGGACTCCAAGTACCTTTTCCTTAAATCCTTTTTCTTTTCCTTTCTATGTAGCTCAGGCTGGCCTCGACCTTGTGGAGATCCTCCTGCCTCAGCCTCCTTGGTACAGGAATTACAGGCATGTGCCACCCTACCTGTCTAATTAAATGCTTTTTCTTTCCATTAAATGTATTTATTTGTATTGGGCACCGCACCAGGTGCTGAGGTTTAGAGGACATCTGTGATCTTGTCCTACATACAGTGTCTGTGCTCTATTGTAAAAGCCTTGGACTTAGCTCTTATCAATAAAACATTTGGCACCCAACTTCGGAAATGAGCACATATGCAGTAAGGGGAGACTGTGTGGCCTTCCTATCCATGGCATTCAGATGGCAGGTGGAGAGAATGAAGCCAGTCACCTATTTCTGTCATCTGAAACAAAGACAGCTGCTTCATTCCCTTCCCAAGCATTGCTGATCATAACTCATGCTCGACGGGGCTGAAGGCCAGGCTGCTGGTGGCTTCCTTCACTCCCTCGCCACATGTGGGGTCTCCAGCTCAAAGGCAAAAGGCAGCTGAGCTCTTTTAAAAGTGAAATCATCTGGATCTGGTGACCTTTGTCTCCTTGACTAAATGAATTTCATTTTCTTTTCACGGTAGAGAAGGTCATTCTATTTTTAGCTAGAATATAATTTCTGCTATGTTTCCTGACTCCATGGTGGTTTGACTGCCTTGATTTTTTATTCTTTTGTAAGATTTCAGAGACATTTTGAGGGAGAAAGCCTGAAAAGCACCTCCGCTGATGAGTTTTGTATTAACAAGATGGCATGCAAGAATGAGACGTAAGGCTTCTGAGAGCCTCAGGCAGCGGGAAGCTCCTCAGTGTTTAAAGAACTGTTCTTGTGAAAATGCTATTTCAATCATTATGAAACATGCCTCTCCATGCTTTTTTTTTTTTTTTTGGTACCAGGGATCGAACTCAGGTCCTTGAGCTTGCAAGGCAAGCGGCAGAACCACTGAGCTAAATCCCCCGCCCGCCTATCCATTCTTAATCACTTTTCTGACAGATTTTTTTCCTTGGCAGAACAAGAGGCCCCTGTCTGATTAATCAGTAAACTGCCTGAAAACAGGAATTAATATTTAGCCAGGAACAACAATGGGTACTGCTTTCTGAATACGTTTCTACTGACACAAAATACTGCTTGGCATTTCTGTTCACAGTGCTTCTATTTATACCAAGTAAAATCCAAAGCGCAGTTAAGGGCAGGACTCTAGAGGAGCAGATATTCTGGAAAACCCTTCCTCTGCCAGGAGCAGCCCTGGGCTGCAGGACAATGTGCCTCCCAGCCCGAGCCTGCCTAGGCACAGTCACCTTGCAGGTGATGGGCTTCAAGGGGGGCGGTCAGGCACTGCATGCACATGAAAATTCCCTGCTCCAGCGTCCTGCACAGATCTCAGTGTGGTCTCCATTTCTTGGGCTTCCTGGCACATGGAAAACCTATTTGGGAGGTCTCCTTGGTCCCCAGCTCCACTAGTACAGTGGATCCTTAACTTAGGAACTCAGTGGGTTCCTGAGGGCTGGTTGTAACTAAGTCAGTACAGCTGAGATCTGGATGTTTGCCTGGATACACGATAAAGGTGAAAAGAGGCAAACGAATCTTCCTTAACCTAATTAACCCAAGTTGTTCATGTGTCAGACGGGTTGTACACTGAGGGTCCACTGTATATAGAATGGACTACATGGCCTTGCTTTGCATTCAAATTCCTTAGGTTCTGTTGTTTACTGACCTTTTCTAGATACCTAATTCCTTAAAGTTTCAGTCCAGAAAGCATTCAAGATTTATGATTCTTAATATTTTCTACATGGAAGACTACTATCAAAGCTGGGTATGGTGGTGCACACTTGTAATCTCAGCACTAAGGAGACTGAGGCAGGAGGATCATCATGAATTCAAGGCCAGCCTGGGTAACACAGTGAACTTGAACTACATGTGAGACCCTACTTCAAAACACACACACACAAAATAGCTGGGTGTGGTGGCTCGTGCCTGTAATCTCAGCACTCAAGAGGCTGAGGCAGGAGAATTACTGTGTTTGAGGCCAGCCTGGACTACATAGAGAGTTCAAGGCCAATGTGTACTATATAGCAAGACTGTCTCAAAAAAACAAACCAAACAAAAAGAGCCGATGAAAGACATTCACAAATGTATAAATGCTTTTCTTAAAACATTACATTGCTTTTCATAAAGTTACTGAAACCAAGTCAGAGACCCCTGCTCTAAGAGATGTCCCTGCCCACGGACAGTGTTTCAAGGAGTTGTGTCCCACACCGCCACCACCAGGCTTACAGCAACTTCTCTCCAAGCTGCCAGTGAATCCTTTCACCCTTCAATGAGCAGAGTCAACTGGAAGAACACGTTACTTTTGACAAATTCTGTTAATCTTCAGGAACTTCTAAGGTTGAAAAAAAAAATCTGTAGGAGGGACAGGATCAACAGAACACTTTTTATTCTAAACAAAATGTTCCCTTTGTCCTGAACACTAGCACAACAGATGGACAGAGCATTGAGCCGTAAGGTAAACCAACTGTCAAACTGCCAAAAGAAGCAAGTCCCAGAGCTGCTCCCCCAAAATGCTGCCCAAGAGCCCAGACTGGAGCTAGAAGGCCCAATAAATGCCAGCTCTGGCCAGCCCTCCAAGACAGTGCTGTCTCCTGTCTGCAGTGCAAGGCCACACTAAGCCCAATGCCACCAGGAATCAGGAGCTTCATCTGTCCAGACACCATGCTAAGTGATGCCCACGCCACCTTCTAGACTCTCTGGAGGAAGTTCATTCCACCCGTGTGGAAGCCCAAGCTTCTTCCTACTCTACAGCCCTGCTCAAGGGCCTGGAGAAGGGCTCCTCGGCCAGGCTGGACAAGGTCTTGGCTCCACCAGGCCAGAAGGCAGTTCTGCCTGCTGCCTTTGTGCTGCCCAGCCCAGCCCTCATCAGGTTTATTATATAGATGCAGCCGTGAAGGAGACACAGGGCAATCAGGGTTCATAGTGAGGGATTCTCATAAAAATTCACTCAGATTAAGCATTTTAAGAAAGAGCAGAGAAAAGAAACAAACAAAAGATTTAAAAAGACAATTGTTAACTCTGATTTAAAAAGTTACCATTCTGTATTTTGCCAAGAGAGAACTTTGTTCTCAAGTGGGTTTATTTTTACAACCTCCAAGTGCTAAATTTACCCTTGCTGGTTGCACTTGCTGTGGATTCAGAGGGCAGGTGCTGCCTGTTCTCAAATGGCACTTGGGTAGTGTGGAGCCTCCGCACAGCTTATTGTACTCGATGCCAGAAATAGACTTTTAGGGGTTTGTTTCGATAACCACATGCAGAACCCGAGAGCACACGCATTCTGCACGCTTGCTGGGTTCTCACTTGGACCTGGAGAGCGCCACGGCTCCCAAAGCAGGCTTCATGTGGGTGGGAACAAAGGCAGAGAAACCAGCTTCGCTGCACCCTTACCACGAGCTCAGCATAGTTCTAGCTTTGTGACATCTGAATGAGGAGTGTGTATGTTTGAAGATGTGAATGCAGATTTTCCTCTAGTTCTTGAAGAAGACAATAAATTCAAAACTCTTCCAGTGCCCAGAACAATGGAAATGGTTAAGACATACACGGCAGTTTTCATCTAATTTGGATCCTGATATCTATGCCTAAGGCATTTTTCTTGCTCCCAAATTCTTTGCTGTTTTTTAAAAACATACAGTGGGGCATGTTGCTTCTTGAACCCTCAGTTTTTAGAATAAAAAACCAATTTCCTCCTATTTAATTGCTCTTAGTATCCAAAAGTGATTGTCCCCAAACTCTAATGTAATGAAGGCAGCTGGACTTTGACTTTCAGAAAAAAGGCAGAGAAAAGGCCCCTAAGGGTCTGGGGTAGGACACTGGCCCTGCTTTGTTACTCATAATCCTCAGCATTCCTGTTGCTTTCCAGTCCTGAGAATCCTGTCTTCTCTAAAGACATTTGTTGAGCACCTGTTCTGAAGCATGGTCTGTGCCAGCAGCCTGGCACACAAAATTAGTACGACATGATCTTGTGCAGGGAGAATCAGCAGTCCTGCGGGGGAGCACTACATACCTATGGGACACTAAAACTGCATGATCACTACCACGCTAGCAGAAGAGCAGAGTGCGCTGGGGATGGCATGCCTGTAACCCCAACTACTTGGGAGACGAGGCCAGCTTTGTGACACCCTGACTCAAAGTAAAATTAAAATAAGGCTGAGAGCCAGGTGTGATAGTGTATGCCTATAATTCAGTAATATGGGAGGTTGAGGCAGAAGGACCACAAGTTCAAGGCCAGCCTGGACAAGCTAGTGACTCAGCAAAGACTCAGTCTCAAAAGTTTAAAAAAGGGTGGGGATGTTGCTCAGAGCAAAGGCTCTGGGTTCAACTTCCAGACTGCAGAAAAAAAAAAAAGAGGAAAGAGATTAACTTGGGGGATGGGGTTAGGAGTAGGTGATGGGCCAGGGCTGTGACCAAAGAGCTAATTTTTTTGTTGTTGTTGTTTTGTTTTTAGAGACAGGATCCGACCGGCTAATTTTATCAGATACTGTTAATAATACCCAGTAATAAAAGATAAGATAGAGTGTTCTTTGAAAAAAAAAAAATCAACTAAAGCTGAATTTTATAAGATACAGTTACTGAAGGGGTGTGTGTGTGTGTGTGTGTGTGTGTGTGTGTGTGTGTGATTCCAGTGTGATAAAAAGTGAGGCTGCTGGCTGAGAGGCTTGGCCAGCACTTCCTGGTAACAACTGGAGTTGTAAGCCAAGTGACAGACACTGTTATCACCACTGAATCCAGAGCAGGGCTTTCCACACGCACCCCCGAAGGGCAGATGAAGGGAGTCATTTTGTTCTGTGTCCACAGCTGGCAGAGGTGGGGGACACCTGACTCAATACCAGCAACCAATAAACTTTTGGTTTGGCTCAAAATGCTAGGCTGGCTCTATCAGATTTCCCTCTAGCGAATATGAGATCCAGAAGTTGAGGATCAAAGCCGCTAGAACTGAGCACTGCAGGAGGAAGCTTGAATGTAGAAAGGGACGGATGACTGCTGGGATTAGGGAGCTAGGAGGTCAGCAGCCACAGCAGACACAGCACAAAGAAGGGACACTGACAAGGGAGGCGAGTGGCACAGAGGTAGAGGCCCATAAAGAGAGAAAAGATTCCTAGAATCTCAAGTCCTGGCCATGTGTACCCTACCAATAAACTCGCCCACCCCATGGTGTGTGTGTGTGTGTGTGTGTGTGTGTGTGTGTGTGTGTGTGTGTGTGTGTGTGTGT